TTCGAGCCACCTCTGGCCCCACTCAGGCACAGGAGCAGGGCCTGACCTCCACTGTCCTCGTGCCCCCCTGGTCTCACCAGCCTTGTATGCCACCTGCTATAGATTGTGATACAATATACAGTATTTTCAATAGGGGGAAAACTGGGGGGAGAAGCTCTATTTTCAGATTTTTCAGACCATATTTTTTTTAATGGCAAATGGGAAACTGGCTGTTTCTGGGGTGGAGTGGATGGCACATGGGGGCAGCCCCCACTGGCGTGCCCTTGCTCCCTTGCTGGGCACATTCTGCCTTCCTGGGTGAGTGTGGGGGAACGAGCCAGCTCAAGGCTTGCCCTTTGCCATCAGGGAGAGGGGATGGTGTCACCTTTGAGTCCCCAGCTGTCGCTTCAGTGGTGGGACCCTGGGGCACGCTGGGCAGCAGTGCTGCAGTGCTCTGGGCTTTGTCCTCACCCCACACCTGCCACACTGCCCTCTTGCTCAGGACTCTGGAAGGGCACTGGCACCCCAGTCACAGTGTGTCCCCTTTTCCCAGCCCTCCCCACCACCACATGCCATCATCCCTATGGCTTTGATGGTCAGTGGACATGCTCTGGTGCCCATACAGCCTGGATGGCCACGGTGGTCTCCCTGCCCTGGGCTCAGGGCTGCCTGGGCACAGACCCTGCTGGGGCCACCCCAAGGGTGGCAGCAGGGAGGGAGCGGGAGGGTAGTGCCCCAGGGCAGGGGTGGCTGCTGCCTTAACACTGTTCACTTCGTTGAGTTTGGCCCTACTTCCAGCCTTGCCTCCCCCTGCACGTCCTTGGCCACCAGCCACGGGTGCAGCGCCAGTGCCACGCTCAGCCCCAGGCATGGGGCCTCTGAGGGGTGGGGAAGTCTTGGAGCTGCCTGTACATTGCTAGCAAACAAAAAAAAAGGATGAAATGTGAAAATAATGATCGTTTTAAATAAAAAATAATAACTGGATCCGGTGAGGCTGTGTGGTTGGTGATGGGTGGGAACGCCGGGTCTGGGTGCCTGGGAGGGATCAGGCTGAGGAGGGGGTTGGCAGTGCCCAGGGTGGGGGTGCAGGAGCCTGCTGTGGGCAAGGGGTCCTGGGCCCAACACAGGGGTGTGTCCAGTGCTGGGCATCATTTGGACAGTGGTGGGGTGGCTGTGGGTGCAGGCAGGAGCCGTGGCAGCTGGCAATGCCACCAGCCTCCCTCACCGGCTCAGGGCTGGCAGCAGCTGTGGGGCGGGGGCCCCATGGCAGGGCGGGGGCCCCATGGCAGGGTGTCCTGCCTGTGCCGTGGGGCCAGGTGTGGGTGGGAGCGGGTGCACCCTGCGAAGGAATGTGGGCTGGGAGGGGCTGTGGCTCCAGCTGGGGCACTCAGAGTGCAGCCAGCACTGTGCTGACAGCTGCCACCCAGCATGGCTGAGAAACCCCAAATCCAGCTCTTCATCAAGGTGAGGGGGAATCTTCAGGCCAGTGGGCACCGCTGCCTGCCACCACTGGCAGTGCTGCAGTGGGGTGACCTGGCTGCCCTGCCCACCACAGTTTCCAGATGTGGGGAACTGGGGAGGTAATGGGCAGGGGGTCAGGCAGCAGGTAGGGAGTGGGGCTGGCAACAGGCAGGTAGTGGTCAGGTAGGAGTAGGGCGGGCAGTGGGCAGCAGGCAGGCAAGGGGGGGGCAGGCAGCAGGCATGGCTCTTCTCCACAGCACTGCCTGCTGCTGCCTACCCCGCAGGCAGGGGGGCTGTGAGGGCTCAGCCTGGGGAGGTCGGACTGGGATGCCCTCCACAAACCAGATCCCAGCAGCCCAGCACCACAGCATCTGCCTGCACCTGCCGGGCCTTTCTCAGCTGCCGCTCAGCAGGGGCAGTCAGTCCGGCTGTGCCAGGCAGGACAGGGCTTGCCTGGGATTATGCCTGGGGGTGGCAGGGCCACCAGCATTGTTGTCAACTTCCTTTGGTGAAAAGTCCCTGCTACTGGGCTGTCCCCTGCCACAGCTGCCCCTGCTGCCACTGCTGCTGCTGCCCCCAAGCCCTGGCCCCCCTTGGCACTGTGAGGCTGGTAGAGCCTGGGCGTCCTTTCCCTGGGGGGTGCCAGGGCCAGCACTCGCTGTGCCACGTGGCTGCTCTGGGGCATGGCATTGAGGCCCTGGGAGCACTCAGGGGCTGGGGGCATGGTGCCCTGCTTGGCATAGCAGGTGCCACGGACTGCAGCACAGCTTGCCAGCCTGTGTCAGCCCAGGCTGGGCCGGGGCACGTGCCTTGCCACCCTCATCCAGGGCTGCCCCCACTGTGGCCGTGCTGGGGTGAAGGGGCAGCTGAGCTCTCCATCTGTGCCCACAGGCAAGCGAAGACGGGGAGAGTGTTGGGCATTGCCCCTTCTGCCAGCGGCTCTTCATGGTGCTGCTGCTCAAAGGGGTGCCCTTCACCCTCACCACCGTGGACGTGAAGAGGTGAGTGGTGGTCCTCTCCCAAGGGGTGCCAGTGCTCGGGCCAGGGCCATGGGCAGGGTGGGTGGGCAGTATGTCCCCAACACTGTGGGAAGGGATGTGTGAAGTTTGGGCACTATGGCATGCATGCAGCTTGTTCCCCCAGGTGCCTGGGGAGGTTAGTGGGCATTTCCCTAGGCACACACAGAGGCAGGAGCAGCCTAGGGGCACCACTTCATCCCTTTGCTTGGGACGCACATGCACATACGAACACGCACACACACATGTGCACAGGGCCAAGCAGAGCCCTGGACATGCCAGACATCAGCAGCGTCTCCATCTCCTGCAGGGCGCTGGATGTGCTGAAGGACTTCGCACCAGGAGCTCAGCTGCCTGTTCTGCTCTACAACGGCGAGCCCAAGACTGACACTGTGACCATTGAGGAGTTCCTAGAGGACCAGCTAGGCCCCCCCACGTCAGTGGCCAGCGCTACCCTGAGAGGACTAAGGGGCCAAAGAGGGGCAGGACAGGCTGAGAGAGGAGGGGGCTGACAGCGTGTGAGCCTGTTGGCCCCCGCCACCTGCCTCAGCTGTGCCCACATCCCCACAGGTGCCCCAGTCTGGTCCCGCAGTACCGGGAGTCGAGCCTGGCCGGGAACGACATCTTCCACAAGTTCTCCGCCTTCATCAAGAACCCGGTGCTTGCCCAGGACGAGGGTGAGGATCGAGTAGGGAAGCACCTCATGCATCTTTTCAAGTGTCACCAAAGCCTATCCTGGTCACACTGAGTGCCCTCAGTCCTCCCAATCTATGTGGGTCAGTGTCAGGTCTCTGTGGGAGGGTAAGGAACAGGTGCCAGCCTGGGTAAGGTGGGTGCTGCCTGGGCACAGGGCTGCGCTGGCAGGAGGCCATGGCAGAGCAGGAGCCCCTGCCGTGACCCAGCTGCCTTCCCCACAGTGCTGCAGCGGAGCCTGCTGCGGGCCCTGCTGAAGCTGGATGAGTATTTGCGTGCCCCTCTGGAGCATGAGCTGGCCCAGGACCCCAACCTCCGGGCCTCCCAGCGACGCTTCCTCGACGGAGACCACCTCACGTTGGCCGACTGCAACCTGCTGCCCAAGCTCAACATTGTTCAGGTAAGCAGGGGCATCCTGGCACCCTGCCCTTCTTCTTCCCCTGGAATCTCCATTCCACTGGCCCCATGGTCTCACTTTCCTCTTGGTGCCTGTAGCAACCCCTGGCTCCTTTCACAAATGCTGTCAGCCCTGTGTCCTCCGGCATCCTTCTCCCAGGAGCTCTGCCCAGCAAAGTGCCTTCCCAGAGATCCCATTTCCCTCTACATCCCCTCCTAAGTGCCAGCCTTCAACTGTGCAGTGCTGGGGATGTCCCCTGGCCCCCTGCCACCCTTCCCAGCTGGTTCCTTTCCTGGCAGCTGGGTCCTCCTTGACACACAGTACCAGGCACAGTTCCCCCTGTTCCTGCCCACAGGTCGTGTGCCAGCACTACCGCCACTTCGGGATCCCCAAGGACCTGCGGGGCGTGTGGCGGTACCTCAACAGTGCCAACGAAACCAAGGAGTTCAAATACACCTGTCCCAACAGCCAGGAGATTGTACAAGCCTATCGCTCCGTGGTCCGTGCACCACAGTGAGCTGGGTATGCATCCCAGTGGGTGCAAGGCCAGGGTTGGGGTCAGGCAGGAGGTCAGTGCCCACCCCATTCCTGCCAGCACGCACTTGGGAGAGCAGAGCATGAGCTGTGCCCCTGGCACCCAGGTGCTAGCAGTAATCTGTGGTGCACTGAGCCCCTTTTGTGCCACCCTCCCTCCCAGCCAGGACATGCTCTGTGGACCCCGAGCATCGGGACTGGGGGCAAGGGGGCAAAGCCATGGGCACCATCAGTGCCAAAGCTGGGCCCTGCTGTGGGCAGGGGCAGAGCTGGGGAGGACAAGCTGCCCAGAGCACAGGGCAGCCCTGCAGCCTCTTGTGTGGGCACGCCGTGCCACCCTCTCATGAGGGTTCAAGGCCCAGCTGTGCCTGGGCAGCAGGCACTACAGGATGCCCTCACACCTGCACTGAGCGAGGGGACCCAGTATAGTCATGGAGAGCCCTAGGAACAGAGCTGGCAGGGGATGGCAGAGGCAGTGGGCACGGGTCAGTTCCCAGCACCCTGGGTGAGGGGAGCAGAGGGTACCAACCCCCCGGAATCCACGGTTAGTCTGCTCTCAGGAGTAGATTTGGGGGTTGTGATGTGGGGCAAGCCCAAGCCAAGCTTCAGAGCTCCTGGAAATCAATAAAGGCTTTGCAGGCAAGACCAGCGTGAGTCTGGAGTGACACACCAGCAGCTCCCCCTTACAGGGCTTTGCACTGACCCCCACTCTCTCTCCCAGTGCCAAGCAAGGCAGAGTGCATCCTCCCAGCTCTCTGGAGGGGTTGGGCAGGCTCTAGCCACCCATCTGCCGGCCCACTTGCAAAAAGCTGGCAGGGAAGGGAACTGCTCTGAGCCCCGGACCTCCAGGTTCAGCTGAAACTGGCCCAAAGCTTCCTGGGAAAGGGAGAGGCAGAATACACTGACACATCCACGGAGACTGGTTGGCTAAAAACACCTTTACTGGAAAGAAGATAAGCACAGGCAATCCTTCCATTCTGCAGTGATACAAAAGTCCCTTTCCAAACCTCACCAATTCATGGAAAATGAGGTCAAGAGGTGGCCCCTGCCAGCAGGGAAGAGCTGCTGGGGAGAAAGCAACCGCTGGTATCTCCTCCCTGCCACCACCCCAGCGGAGGGTCAGCTGCCACGTGCTGATGGCTCTGTTGCCTCCTGGGTATGAGGGGCTCAGCAGGCCCCAGACACAGGGCACCCTCTCCTCCACCCAAGCACATGCTGATAGGGCTCCACAGGGCTGTCATCGGGGCACAGGACAGCACCAGTCAGGAGTCCTCGAAATTCACTCCGGATGGTGCTTTCTTGCTGGGAGGAGATGGAGGGAGCATCAGAGCCCCAAGCCCCATGTCCCAAGCAGAGCCCATGGGGTCCCTGTGCAGCCAAGTCCCAGCACTGACCTTTTGAAACCAGGGTTAATGAGAGACTCTCCTGGGACCTTCCTTTTGGCTGGCAAAGCTGAGCCAGCAGCCCTGTTCTTCCTGGGGCTTGGGTCTGCCTCAGTCAAGGACAGGCAGGATGCAGATTGCAGGTCAGCCAGGTGTTCTGTCAGCCCTGCCAGTCCCTCCATGGCCAGGGTGAGCTTCCAGCAGCCCAGCCTGGCAGGGCCAGCAGCCATGGAGGGTGAGGAAGGGCCAAGCCTGGCCTCCTCTCCCAAAGGAGCCATGGACCTGCCCTGGCCCCCAATCTGGAAGCACAGCAAAGCTTGCCCTTCTTCTGAGGCTGGTGATGACCAGCCTCTGACCTGAGCACCCCAGATACCCCGAGAGCCACCACAGTGAGCCCTGTCCCTGCTCTGTCAGGAAGGGCACCAGGACAGCGGGTGCCTGACAGCAGCCACAGCTGAGGGCACTCAGTGTGTGCTGAAGAGCACATGAACACAGGACCAGCAGCCTCCGGGAAGGAGAAGGCAGGACAGCAGGACCAGGGCAGGTGCCCCTGGCAGTGCCTACCTGGCAGGAAGAGCTGCTGGCTCCGGGCAGTATTCTTCTGAGGGCTGCAGGAAGATGCCAGCGTCTCCACGGCTGCTGAGCCAGAGCCACAGCTTGAGACAACACACCCCAATACAGCACGCAGCATCCCAAGCCTCCTCAGCTAAACTGAGGCCTGTTTCCCTCTCAGCACCCAAACTGCTGCTGCCACAAAATCTTCCCAGACCCCTCAAATAGAGATGTCTGTAAGGTGACTCCCACATTCAGGATGCTGGTGTGGTGCTGGCCATGAGGACAGGGCTGTGTTTCCACCCAGAGACACACCACTGTGTCCTCTGGGCCCCAGCAGGGATCCTCTGTCCGGGGGCTCTGATGAAGACCCTGGCCAGCTTTAGGAACTGGTCAACTGAATGGGGAAGCGATGGCAGCAGCTCTGCTGCTGGCCCACTGGGACTGGTGAGGAGAAAGGACCTGATGTGATACTCGGGAGGCAAAGCCCTCTCCCACTGAGAGGCCCAAGGCTGAGCTGGGGCACGTGGGGCATTTCGGGTGGGGGTGACGATCCCATGAAGGTGGCAGGAGCTGCCGGCCCTCCCCCTGTCCTCACACCTTCCAAACCCACCACGGACCTTCCAGGCGCCTCTCCAAGGTCTCGATGCAGCCGGCCATGCCGAACACCAGAGCCTGCAGCTGGCTGCGCGCCTCGGCGGCGGGCAGCTGGGCGAGGGCGAGGGCCGGGCACCGCGGCTCCTCCGGCATCCGCAGCGTGGCCGAACCCGGGCCCAGGCTCAGCTCAGCGGCCCCGCGTCCCAGGGCGGCCCTGTAGAGATAGGGGGCGAGGGGAGCAGGGAACAGGGCGAGCCCGGGGTGAGGGGAGCCCGGGATGAGGGAAGCCGAGGATAGAGGGTGTCGGGGCGGCAGCACCCACCTGAGCATCGCGCCGTGCTCCTCCGGCGGGCACCGCTGCAGAGAGGGAGGAGGAGGAGGAGAGCATGTCCGACACGGCCTAACCCGGGCCCGAGTCCATCCCCGCCCCACTGGCACCCCGGGCCTCAGGCCCGAGCCCCACCGCCGACCCCGGCCCCGGTACATACGCAGCCAAACGCCGGACAGTCGCCGAGGTCCCCGGCCCAGACCTCCATCGCGTCGGTTACACTGCGGGAGGCAGCGGCTCAGGCCAGGGCTGCTCGACCCCCGCCCAGCCCCGCTCCCGTTCCCGGCCCCCGCCCGCTCTCACTAGACGGCGCCGCCGGGCCGGCAGTAGCAGAGGAACCGGCCCGGCCCGGCTCGCAGCAGGTGGAAGGGCCCGGCCGGTTCCGCCATCGCCGCGCCGGAAGGGGCGGGCACGAGCGGCGGGTCCCGCCCGAGGCCGCGACAGGGACCGGCAGCGCCGCCATGGTGAACTTGGGGCTGCGGCGGGTGGAGGATGATGTGGCTGCCAAGCACCCGGTGCGCCCTGCGGGGGACGGGCTGGGGGGCCCGGCTGTGCCGGTGGGGCCGGGGCTGAGGGGGCCGGGCAGAGCCCGGCTGTGCCGGTGGGGCCGGGGCTGCGGGGGCCGGACAGGGCTCCAGCCCCGGCGCTGACGCGTCCCCGCAGGCGCTGCAGCAGTACGCGGCTTGCCAGTCCCACGCCTTCATGAAGGGCATCGGCACCTTCCTGGCAGGTACGGCCCGGTCCAGCCCCCCCTCCTCGGTTGTCCCTGGCCGCTCCCCGGGGCAGCGGGGATGGCCCGGCTGTGTTCGGTAACCCCGGCCCCGGTCTCGGCAGGCAGCGGGGCCACCTTCGCCGTGCAAAAGCTGGCGCGGCAGAAGCTGCCGTACAGCCCGCAGTGGAGCCTGCTGCTGGCCGCGGGTGAGTGCCTGGCTCGGGTGGTGCTGCGGACAGAGAGGTGTTTGCCCTTGCTGTGGGGGGCTCGTCCCTAGCTCCAGTCACCTCCCGACGCCCCGGCCCCGGGGGTTCAGGAGGGTTCTTGGGCAGCTGCAGCAGGTGCTGTCCCCACCAAGGTGCTGCTGGCGCTGTCAGAAGCACCTCGGCCTCCCCAGCCGCAGGGTCCCTCGCGAGCTATGTGGTAACCAGAGCTGAGACACAGAAATGCTCCGACTTCTGGATTTATCTGGAGACAGGCAAGTCCCCACAGCAGTTCGCCGTGACTGGTGGGGTGTCTCAGCCCACAGGTACGTTCACAACTCCCTGTTGCTTTCCTCAGGCTCGTCGTGCCTGGTTCTTCCCTGCTGCAATAATTAGTTTGCTATTCCTGTCTCGTAATTAAACTGGTGACTGTGTAATTGCCAAAATCTCAATGTAAGTCCCACACTGGCACACCGCTTCCAAGGGATGGGAGCAGAAGGACATGTGGTGGCTGGAGCTCCCTACCTCATCTCATAGTTCCCATGCCCCGCTGTGCTCTGGGCACAGCGATACCTGAGCAGACCTGGAGATGTGGGCTGGGTGCACTCGCTGCTAACTGCTGCCCTGCCTGCTTTGGGGATTCACAAGAACCAGCATGAAGGGCTCGTTTGCTGGAAGAGGACGGAGAGGGTAAGGGATGGAGAGAGCAAATGAGGTGTAGAGAGGTTTGCTGCTCTGTAGGGTGGATAGAGCTGGAGGGTCACTAAGAGAGGCACTGGACAGTTCCCGTGACTGCTTGCTGCTCTCTGTCACACGTACCTTGAGCTCCCAAAGCACCTTGAGGTCCCAAAGTTGGGCCCACCTGAAGAGGCTTTAAACACTTCACTAGGGCTCTGTGCTTCTCTCTCTGCCCGCCCTTGGCAAACACACCAGGGTAGTTGGAGGTCCAGGGAGCTTGTACTTTCTGTTGCAGAAAATCTGCTCAGCACAGAGGACAGAGACAGCGCCGCGCTGCCGGTGAGGAGGAACAGGTACGGGGACGTGGTGGAGTAGCCGGCAAAGCACAGCACTCTGTACTCGTGTCCCACTTCAGCCCCTGCTGCCTGCCCAGCCTGTCGCTGCCCATGCTGCCTGTGAGTCTGGTAGGCTTGATGGCACTGTTGGGAAGCTCAGAGGACTTGATCCTGCAGCGAGAGTGTGGTGGAGGCACCACAGGGATCACTGCTGCCCACCCCATGGCCTCTGAACATTGCACTGAGGGTACAATAAAAGTCAAGAACTGAAGGTGCTCATTGTGGATGAGGTGAAGGCCAACATTGGGACAGGCAGAGCAGGTGGTGAATGTCACCCCGAGGGAACAGGTGGCACTCACACTCTATCAGCACATGGATTGCTGCGAGCTGGCTCTAGGCACGGGCAGGTCTGGGTTAAGCTATGAGGGCAGAGCTGTTGTGTGCTTTCTGTACCCTGAGCCCAGGCAGTCCCCCTGTCCCTACCCCTGCAGCAGCAAGGCTTTTCCCACCCACCTGAACAGGGCCGGGCTGAGCCCCATAGCTGGGTGGCCTCTGGGGTATCCTCTGCCCCTGCAACAGGGGTGACCATGTGCCCAGGGCCCCTCTTTGTGGTGCCCACCTGTCACTGGCCAGGGCATGTCATCTGGCCAGTCCCAGATTGCCCATCCAGATCCATAACCAGTTGGCAAGGATATGGTACTGTCTCAAATCCCATGCAAAGAGAGGGGCATGTGGGGTTTTTCCTAATGTCAGACTCCAAGTCCTAACTAGGTAAACTGGCTGCTCTTGGCGGATGTCCAACTCTGATTCAGCTGCATCTGAATTTCTTAGAAGAGGAAATGCAGCCTGGATTCTGGAAGGTACCTGGGTTCTTAGAGCAGTGTTTCAGCTTCAGGGACCAGAAGCACCTCTTCCTTCCATGTGAGATGTGGAGACAGACCCTGAGCCTCACTCCACCACAGGAGGGAGTCCCTGTGATGGGGGGATAAGGGGTCTGGGGAAGAAACTTGAGTTTGAGGGTTCAGAACATCATCTGAACTGGAATCAGGTTTGCCCTGTGCAGAGAGATGGGGAGCAGCCAGCAAAACAGCTGAAAATAAAGTGCTGCTGGGAATGGGTGGGTTAAGCCAAGCACAGTATTCCAGGAGCTCAGCCAGAGCAAGGAAGGGTGTTGGGAAGTGAGCAGACCTGCAGACCAGAGCTCGTGCTGCTGGCAGGAGCAAGGAGGGCAGCAAGAAACCACAGTTCCCTACAGCCACTCCTCTCTGGAGTGTTTGAGGAACATGCAGGGCGGGGGGAGGCTTCCTGATGGACTGGAGAGCTGGGACCAGACCCACACAGCTGTCAGGTGCCAGATGTGTCACGGTGTCTCTGAGCTGCCAGTGGCTGCACCAGCAAATGTGGGTGCCCCGCTTGGGCACCAGCACTGGGGCCCGGGAGTGGAGGCTGCCAGCAAGTTGTCTGTGCCTGGGAGCTGTGGCAGTGAGGAACAGCTTGAGCACTACCTGCTCCTGGCTTTGGGGTGACTGCACCTCCAGTGACAGGGAAACTTGAACTTGATGACTGTGGCTGGCTGGAACTCCTCCATCTCCAGGTGGGCCTTGGACTGGAGTGAGGTTTCCAGCCCACCTCAGTCCATCTTGGGGGGTCTCCAGGCTGGTACAAACAAACAAATAAACAAAGTCATGATGGTGTCCCAGCACTGGATGGGCTGCAAGGGATAAGGCCTTCGGGCAGAACCTGACCCTGGCTCTGCCAGGCTGATCTGCCTGTTGCTGATCAGGAGCTACTAAACCATAGCAGTGGTTACAAAGGTTTATTTCAGATTATAAAAAAAACCCCAAACAGACAAAATCAAAGCTTCTGCATGTTTGCATGTCCCTGTTCTTAACTGGAAATGAAGATGCATCCCCCCAGCTGCCCGGCATAGGATGTTGGCAGGCTCAAATCCCAGTGCAGAGCAAAGCCCTGCTCCCACAGCAAGTCCATCACCTCTGTGCTGGCCATGGCCATGCACCACGGAGCTGCCGGCACCGGGGGATGGAGGAGTGGCAAAAAGTCTAAGCATAGGAACCACAGGGATGAGGAAGGCACCACGTGTGGTTGCTGAAGCAGGACCTGGAAGCTGCTGGCTCCCCATATGTTGTTGTTGTTAAGCCCTTACCCAAAGCTGAGAGCAGTGGAAGTCTAGGCCAAGATTTGGCCTTCAGGAAGGTCAGTGGGGTTTGTGTGCTGGCCAGAAAGACAAGTGTGGGCTCTTGGTGCTGCCCAGAGCTCCCCAGGAGGCAGGGCTGGTACTCCAGGGACAGGCTAGCAAGGTCAGCTGTAAAGACTGGTATAAATAATATTCCCCACCCACCCCCATACAAATGAAAATAAATCCTGCTGTTGCCTTGGCTCACTGGCCCAGTCCAACTCAGTTCTGGTGGCAGAAAGATGTTCCAGCTCTGAATGTCCCATTCTCAAACCTGCTGCTGCGTCCATCCCTGAGTAGTGCTGGGAAACCCTTCCTCTTCTGTCCCTCCTTTCCTGCAGCTTGAGGGCAAGGGGAGGGCAAAAGGGGACAGCTTTCCTTCTGGGACAGTGTCAGGCCTTGGAGGAGGACACTGAGCACTCGCTGCATCCCAAGTGTTCAGACCATGGAGACTCCAGCAGGTAGGATGGTGCTGGGTCCTGCAGACACGGCCCACCCAGTCCTCACCATCAGATTGCACTGGACTTGCTGCGCCGGAGCAGGCAGACGGCAGTAACCAGGGACGTCAGGGTGGTGACCACAAAGAGCAGGATGAGAAGGACCCAGTAGTTGTACAACATGCTTTTGTGGGAGGAGGGCTTCTCTGCTGGGATCATGTTGGTGAGGTTCAGCATGTAGCCCAGGGCCCAGCCAATGGAGGTTTCTCCTGCCTGTGGAAACAGCATGGCATGGTCATCCATCCAGCCAGCCCAGCTCTGTGGGCCTCAGGAGACTTTAGATGTCTTTTCTAACTTTAATGATTCCATGATTCTAAGATCATGGAGGCCAACCACTAACTCAGCACTGCCAAGGCCACCACTAAACCATGTCCCCAAGTGCCACATCCACATGTCTTTTAAATCCCTCCAGGGATGGTGACTATTGCTTCCCTGGGAAGCCTGTTCCAATGCTTTAACGCCCTTTCTGTGAAGGAATTTTCCCTATAATCCAACCAAAATGTCCCCTAGTGCAACTTGAGGCTGTTTCCCCTTGTCGTGTCACTTGTTACCTGGGAGAAGATCTCAACCCATACCTGACCTCACCCTCTTTTCAAGTAGTTGTAATGAGTAAAAAGTCCCCCCTGAGCCTCCTTTTCTCCAGGCTGAGCCCTCCCGCAGCTCCCTCAGCCAGTCTTCATTAGAGTTGTGCTCTAGCCTTTTCAGGGACCACCTCAGTGTCAGCCCAAGGGAGGAGAAGGGTGTGAGGGACCCAGAACACCCTGAGCTCTTGCTTGCCCATGGGTTCAGTCAGCCCAGGGACAGAGCAGTGACCATCCTATGCTAAAGTG